AAGGTAGGCACCCCAATTATGTTACTAAGAAACATTGATCATTCGATGGGGTTGTGTAATGGTACTCAATTGATAGTAACTCGATTAGCTAATCACTCGATCCAAGGAAAGATTTTATCTGGAAGACACATGGGTCAAGAAGTTGTTATTCCAAGACTATCACTGACACCATCTGATGCAAGAATACCATTCAAGTTTCAAAGAAGACAATTCCCCGTGATTACTTCTTATGCAATGACAATTAATAAGAGTCAAGACCAATCTTTAAAACACGTGGGATTATTGTTACGGAAACCCGTATTTAGTCATGGACAATTATATGTTGCGGTTTCAAGGGTAACAAATCGTAATGGCCTGAAGATTCTTATTTGCAACGCAGAGGATGTCCCAACAAAATGTACCACTAATGTAGTTTATAAAGAGGGTTTTCAAAATTTGTAATTTATAGATACTTTGCAATACTAAAAAAATATTATATTTCATTATATGTTGTATTTTTTTCCTTTTGATACCACTTTAAATTTACAACGTAATTGCAACCCGTGCAACGCACGGGTGTGATACTAGTTATCTCTTCAAATAGAGTTCAAACTCAAGAAGAACAATAAATAATGGATTGGGAAAAACACTTATATATTTATCCTCAAAATTGAAAAAAGATCAATTTATTAATAAAAAAAATAGTGGTGGCCATTATTGAGTTTAGCTAAAAATGGGAGGGTCCTATAACAATTATTCTATTTCTCCAAATTCCAAGAAATTCATAGTTTTTTTGAAAGAAAAACGTACATCGTGAATGCATAAAGCTTGAAAATTAAGAAAAAAAGACAGTAATAGTTGGCCTAAGGATAAAGCAGTGAAATTCTGACACAACTAATTTAATTCAATACTAACATAAAAAAGTAAGTCAATACTCAATAAGATTAGTATTTCAACGAGATCACATCTCTTCAAATGGAGTTCAAACACAATAAAACAATAAATGATGAATTGGAAAAACACTTATAAATTTATCCCCAAAATAGTACAAAAATTTCATTTTATTTATAAATAATTTAGTGTTGAAATAGTACCAAATAATCAATTTATTCATAAAAGATTTAGTTTTGCCCATAATTGAGTTTTTTTGAAAGAAAAATTGTTCATCGCGAATGCATAAAGTTTGAAAAATAAGAAAAAAAGACAATAACAGTTGGCCTAAGGGTAAAATAGTGAAATTCTTACACAACTAATTTCATTCAATATTAGCATAAAAAAACTAAGTCAGTACTCAATAAGGTAAGTATTTCAACGAGATCACATCTCTTGAAATAGAGTTCAAACACAAGAAAACAATAAATGATGGACTAGGAAAACACTTATATATTTATCCTCAAAATAGTACAAAAAATTCATTTTATTTATAAATAATTTAGTGTTGCCCATTATTGAGTTTAGCTAAAAATTGGAGGGTTCTATAGCAATTTTTCTATTTCTACAAGTTCCAAGGAATACATGGTTTTTTGAAGAAAAAAACGTACATAGTAAATGCATGCATACGTTTGAAAAATAAGAAAAAAGGACAAAGTTATTATTGGCATAAAGGTAAAATAGTGAAATTCTTACACAACTAATGTCATTCAATACTAGCGTAAATAAAAAATCAGTCAATATTCAATATGAAAAGTATTTCAAGGAGAGGATATAATATTTTCAAATAGAGTTCAAACTGAAGAAGAACAATAAATAATGGATTGAGAAAACAATTATTCATTTATCATCAAAATAAAACAAAAAATTCATTTTATTAATAAAAAAAGTGTTGGCCATTATTAAGTTTAGCTAAAAATGAGAGAGTCCTATAACAACCATTTTATTTCTTCAAATTTGAAAATATACATAGTTTTTTGAAAGAAAAAACGTATTTCGTGAATGCATAAAGTTTGAAAATTAAGAAAAAAGGACAGTAATAGTTGGCCTAAGGGCAAAATTGTGAAATTCTCACACAAGTATTTTCATTATATACTAACGTAAAAAAAGTAAGTCAATACTCAATGAGATAAGTATTTCAACGAGATCACATCTTTTCAAATAGAGTTCAAACACAATAACATAATAAATGATGGATTGGGAAAACACTTATATATTTATCCTCAAAATAGTACAAAAAATTCACTTTATTCATAAATAATTTAGTGTTGCCCATTATTGAGTTTAGCTAAAAATTGGAGGGTTCTATAGCAATTATTCTATGTTTACAAGTTCCAAGGAATCAAGTTCTTTGAAGAAAAAACGTACATCGTAAATGCATAAAGTTTGAAAAATAAGAAAAAAGAAAAAACAATTGCTGGCCTACAGGTAAAATAGTAAAATTCTCACACAACTAATCTCATTTAATACTAGCATAAAAAAATTATTCAATCAATACTCAATAGAAAAAGTATTTCAACGAGATGACATTATCTCTTCAAATAGAGTTCAAACTCAAGAAGAACAATACATAATGTATTGGGGAAACACTTATATATTTATCCTCAAAATTGGACAAAAAATTCATTTTATTCATTAAAAAGTTAGTGTTTTCCATTATTGAGTTTAGCTAAAAATTGGAGGGTCATATAGCAATTATTCTATTTCTACAAGTTCCAAGGAATATAAAGTTTTTTCAAAGAAAAAAACGTACTCCCTCCGTCCAGCAATAAAGTTCACGTTCACTATTTACAAAGTTCGTTAAACTTTATTCACTTTGTTGGCTTATTTTCATATCCTATTTGATAAAATAATATAGTCATGTCAGCTCTAGTTTTATACTCCCTCCGTCCCTAAATAGATTACAAATTGCGGGTTACGAAGTAAAATTTCCTTCTTTTTGAAATCATTCTATTTACAAATTGGTATATCAATAAGATATAAAAATTACATATTAAAATACTACGTCAAAAGTTCTACAAAACAAGATGTGACAAAAATATTTTATTTTATCAAATACTTAATGAAATCGCGTAAACAAACAAAAGTTATCGAGAGAAGAGAGAAAAAAAAATTGTAATCTATTTAGGGACAGAGGAAGTAGATCTTTTCATTTAGTTTCAAATTTTAATTTTTATTTTTTTAATTCCATACCATTTTTTCATATAAAGTAATTTGAAAATATTTTTAGTCAAATATTGTAACACGCAACGAGAACTTTATTTATGGACGGAGGGAGTATATCATGAATCCATAAAGTTTGAAAATTAAGAAAAAAGACAAAGTAATAGTTGGCCTATGGGTAAAATAGTGAAATTCAATACTAGTGTAAAAAAAATAAGTTAGTACTCAATGAGATAAGTATTTGGACAAGATGATATCTCTTTAAATAGAGTTCTAACTCAAGAAAATAATAAATGATGCATTGGGAAAACACTTATATATTTATCCTCAAAATAGGCCAAAAATTCATTTTATTCATAAAAAGTTTTGTGTTGCCCATTATTGAGATTAGCTAAAAATTGGAGCGTCCTAAAGCAATTTTCTATTTCTACAAGTTCCAAGGAATGCATGGTTTTTTGGGGAAAAAAACTTACATTGTAAACACATAAAGATTTAAAAATGAGAAAAAAGGACAAAGTAATAGTGAGCCTAAGGGTAAAATAGTGAAATTCTCACACACTTAGTTTCATTCAATTCTAGCGTAAAACAAGTGTGTCAATACTCAATAAGATAAATATTTTAACGAGATGACATCATCTCTTCAAATAGAGTTCAAACTCAAGAAGAACAATAAATGATGGATTGGGGTACTTATATTTTTATCTTCAAAATAGGAAAAAAAATCATTTTATTACAATCTCTAATACATTTAATTTTTTCATGTCTCAAAATCCATATGATGAATATGAATCTTTATTTTTAAAAAATTTAAGTACTTATAAATCTTAAATTTAAAAAACTATTTATAAATTAAAGTATTTATAAATATTTAAATATTTGTAAACTGGAAATATGTATAACAATTTTAAACATTTCAATTGAAATGTTAAAAAATATGTATAGCAAATTTCAAAATTAAAATGAATTCATGTTTGGAAATAAAATATGTAGCTTGCCCAATAATGTAATTTAATACTCCAATTTTATAAAGTAAATGTATTAAAGTTTTATAAATACTTAAGTTATTTAAAAATATAAAGTTTAAATGATACTCAATCCGTCCTAAATTAAGTAGATTGTTTACTATTCACAAGATGAAATTTCATTCAATTTCTTTTCATATTTCTATTACTCTTTGATAAAATAATATAGTCTTGTCACCTTATATTCCGTAAAACTTTTGATGTACTATGAAGTTTTTTAAACAATACTTTATATTTTTAAATTTTTCTCCAATTCTCAAATAAATTGTGTTGAAAATAATTTTAGCCAAATATTATAAACTGAAACTGAAAAAACAAACTACAAGACGGAGGGAGTATTTTTTGTGTGATGAAAACATGACTAAGGTTTTTAATACTCTTTAACAACTAAGATAATACGAGTAATTATTTAACTTAGAGAATGAAAAATTTTATTAAAATATATTAAAAATAATAATTATTCAAAGTAAAATCTTAAAATAGGAGACTTAAGTACTTTACAAAAAATGTGAAATGCCCAGGAGTAATTTTTTGGTGTTTGATTGGTCAACAAAAGAGAACTTTCAATTTTAACGGTAAATAGACAGAATGTAGAGACCCTACTGTAGTGGGATTCAACTGGGTTGTTGTTGTTGTAAATAGACATAATGTACCGTCGAAATAATTGCCATGAATTTTAAAAACTCATAAAGTATGTTTCAGATCATGTGAGATCTGCAAGTTCTTAGCTTAAAATGTTAGATGCCCCGCATCAATTTTTTTTGCACCGATTTAGAGAATGTAATTAGAATATAATATATACTATAAATACATATACGATGAAAATAGCAAATACACATTCTGGACTTGGGATATATAATATATTTATTCGATCAAACAAGGTTACACAATGTTACTAAATTTGGAAATGACAACCATACACGGGGCTTAATTGCAAGCTAGAAACCGAAACGAGAAAGTGCAACGATGATCGGGCTTCGCACAGTAAAAAGTAAAACACGACAAAAGGGTAAAAACGAAACGCTCCCACGGTAAATGGTTGAGGACATGAGAGAGATAGGGCTTATGATTTTGGGAGAAATTTGCGCATCCAAACCGGTTTTCCATTAATGGAGAATTTTGCTTTTGCAGTGCCATTGAGGATGAAGTCGATTATTCCTGGAGTGGTGAAGACAACAAGGGCGAAGAGTGGCTGCTCGTTGGGCTTGACTACCTGCATGGAGATGGAATCGATGCAGTCTCCAAACATCTCTTCGAAGAACAGACGGATCTCCCCTTCGCAAACTGGGATACCCTTGGAGAAGGTAGCAAACATTGTCCTCTTTCCTTTTGGTGCCTTGATGGTTGGCATTCGTCGAGGCACCCCACCAGATTGAGACGACAAATCACCAAGGAAGCAGTTGATATGTGCCATTTCACTTTGAACCAAGTGTTGTTGGGTGTTAATGTGGATGGCCATTTCCATGAGATCCTTTAGTGCTTTCAGACAAACTCTTGATACAATGTTTTTGATCCCATCAGAAGCCACGACCCGGTTTTCATATAAGTACTTGAGGGACAAGTGCTGTCCCAAAAGATGTTGAGTGAGTGAAAGCTCACTTGATGTATGAGAGAAATAACACATGGTGTTTGCAATGCATCCAAGGCAGATCACCGCTTCATTGAAGAGTCCATTGATCATTTCCAAGGACGACGACAACAATATTTTGGTCACAACATTCTCTAAAGTGATGTGTTCCAGCCAAATCCAGAAGGCAATTGCGAGCATAGATGCCCTTGGGTTGCACTGGAGATTGAAAACCAGGGCTGAATAAAGTTCACGGTCAATTCGATGGAAAAGCTTGGTCATCTCAATTGGAACTTCAGGATAGTCACCTTCCATGGCTAAAATTGTGGTTGGAAAACAAAACCTGTTCACATGAAATGCGCACATGACACGACTCCCAAGTACCACCTAAATGACAAAAGAGAAAAAAGTCAAGAAAAAGAAAGGTGCTCTACAAGGAGAAACTGAGTACAGTGAGGTGAAAATTTACAAAACATTTTCTGGTTGAGAATCATAACCATGGGCACAAAATAGGAAAAATGATAAAAGAATGTAACATAAAAAACCATCTTATACTCTTAGGAGTATGTAACACAGATACCATATGAAGAAATGAATGTTTTCAAATCCTCAATCACAAAGGAACTTATGAAGTTGCTTTTCTGCACTGCTATTTAACTGTGAAGACTCAGAGATCATAATCATACAAAGAAAGAAATCACCTTACAAAAGGAGAAATTTAAAGGAAAAGGAGAAACCTTTGGAGATGATTTGTGTATTGATCTGTGTATCTGCTTCACGTCCTAACCAGCTGAATAATAGGGCACAAGATTTAAAAAAACATGAGCAAAAAACAAAAACTTCAGCAAGTTGAAGATTTATTTAGAAGAAAAAAGAGAGAATGTGAAGGAAAAGGAGAAACCGTTGAAGAAGAAGAGCACCTGATTTATGAATGGATATCTGTAGATCAACCACCAGTAGCTTAATTTATAGGCAGGAAGGAAGGTCAACACGGTCACGCAAATCTATGCGGTAGTCACCTCATTTTAACCCAGTGATATGCAGATAAATGTACGCATGTTATTATAGTTTTAAAACTAACAAACCCAGTTTAATCCCAACGCCATTGGGGTTAGGGTGTCAATATGAACACAACCTTACCCCTGTAATAAGAGAGAGGGGTTAGGGTCTCAATATCCACCTTTGATACATAGGTGCATTTACTACCCAAAGTTTCATAGAAAATAAGAAGCAATGGAAGTTTGATGTGTCATTTTGGTTAAAAATATAAAATATGGGTCTTGGAAATTCCGGGTTCTCCAAAGTAAGAAAATAAAATTAACTTTATTAAATAATTACAAAAATAGTAGATTCAGAATGTTAGAGTTCCCCAACGCCCAAGGGTGTGTTTGGGAGGAGAGGAGTGGAAAAATTTTGGTTCTCCCACCCAAAAAATGTTTTGAACCAAATGAGGTGTGGAAATAATTTTCCTTCCTCCACCACCCCCAGGCCCCACCCCAAATACACCCCAAAAGAACATAAAAGCTAACGAAGGGCTACTACAAAAAACCAAACATGCCTACCATTTTTACTAGTATATTTTCAAAAAATGGTGTGTATACATAATACCTACAAGTTAAATTGTAACTCTAGGACATTCTACCCACCAGAAAAATACAAAACCAAAATCAACAACAGCGTCAGTCCTGTAAAAAACAGAGGGTAGTTTTGTTAGACTCTCGATTCATTTAAAACCCAAAACATCTCACGGGGTAAAAAGCAAAGGAAGGTCAATACTTCATTTTGATTTAGCCGATTATGTACCAAAAGCTAAACCACTGTCAATAATGACTCTTTTAGCACCATCAGCACTGGACACATTATATGTAGGTCATAACTTACATCTTGTGCCCATCATATCTTGAACTTAACAAGAGAAGCATTTGAAACTGTTGTATTATACACATATTCTTAAATTTACTATACTACAATTATAACAGAATTTCCATTCCCCTAAAGATTCACTATTTTTTGGCTGTGGGGTATGATGGAATAAAGCAAATTGGCTCTCTAAACTGTCAGCGCTTCTAGTAATTGTGAAGTAGCAGTTCGTCAATGCAACTTTCGACGTTCAACATTGGTCATCTAGAAACAGCCACACTATGTTTTAAACATAGGGGTTAGACTGCGTATCCGACCCCCCTTACCCCACAATGTGCGGGAGCTGTAGAAGCACTGGGGTAATGTTGTTGTTGTACTACAATTATAGCAGAAGGCCACATTACCTTCTGGATCATTTATAGCAGAAGGCCACGTTACCACCTTTAATTAAATTACTTCGTAGTGTTTAATGTAGTTCGTTGTGGTTTTAATTTACATCACTAGTCATTAAATAAAAGGACTCTCAGGATGTTAGGAGTCCTGAAGCCCTAGGTTAGCCTAGATTGTTATTTGACCTTATCAGTTTGTTACAGAGTTATAAATATCCCAGCTTCTCTATTGCTGAGATACGCAGATAATTAATCACCGTTCAGTAACCTTGCAATTCTCTTGGCTTCTATTCCTTTCTATCGGTGAGATTCTTACAGAGAGAAGGGAAGGAGAGTTCTATTCAGTTTTATTTTAGATCCTATATTAATTCTAACAGGTTTTTGTCATTTGGTATCAGAGTGCTCGTTACTCATCCTAAGGTCAGAGGTCAGAATTCATAAATCCAAATTTGTGCTCAGGGCTTCTAGTTTAGCAATCAAGTTTGAGAAACGGGATTCACCTCCGCGTTTCGAGACAAATCAGATGGGCTCTGGCCGATTTGCCGCTTCAGATTCTCTCACTTATCTAAACCGAGAGGTAAAAAACTCGATCCAATCTCATTCTCCCTGGCCACTCACGTTCTCAAGCTCTTCAGGCTCAACACCGTTGTTGCCAGTGTTGAGATTTAGCAGAGACAATTCAATGAAGCAGCAACACAGGGATAAGGGACTTAGCTACCAGTGTGGCACTGTGGCGATCCCTTTAGGCTGGGACATCGTCGTTCGACCTCATCATTCTCTCTTTGATGCAAGTCGATGAGGATGGCAATTTGATAAACACCGAACAGGTACCCGTTGATGAGGAAGTGTCCTTTAATGCAACTCTAAGAAGGCCAACTTCCGCAACAATGAAATTACGTGGAAAATTACATGGGCGTGAAGTTTTTCTGTTTATTGATAGCAGTTCAACACACAACTTCATTCCTAACAAACTTGTGCAGCAACTTAAGTTTCATGTTTCATCAGTTCAGACAATTGGGGTACAGATAGGAGACGACTTTATCATCCGGTGTAATCAGATTTGCAAGTCCATTGACTCTTACACAAGATTTTTACACATTTTCACTAGTTGGATCTGATATTATTCTTGGAATCAAATGGTTAACCTCCTTGAATACCTTTCAAGCAAGCTGGAATGAAATGTTTCTAATTTTTTGGGCAGATGGGAAGCAATATAAACTGCAAGGGATCCCGAAAATTGATCCAAGCATTAGTTTAAAGTCGATGGTAACTCTAAAGTTGAGATGGGGGTAGAGGAAGAATTTCCATAGAATCTGAATGAGTTGCTTAATGAATACGCTACTTGATGAACCTAAACACGTTCCACCAACACGCCCCCACAATCATGCCATTCATAATATGCCTAACAACCCCCCCACCCAACATTCGCCCATATCGTTGCCCTTTTCCCAAAAGAATTGAATTGTGTGGCAGATGAGCAAGAAGGATGGGTCGTGGCACATGTGCGTAGATTATCGCACCCTTAACAAGATTACCATTCCGAACAAATACCCAATACCCAATATTGATGAGTTGCTGGATGAGCTACACGGAGTAATCTACTTCTCAAAAATAGACCTTTGGTACGAGAGTGTGACATTCCAAAAACAGCTTTTTGTACTCACAACGCACATTATGTATTCACGGTAATGCCTTTAGGATCGACTAATGCTCCTGCTACTTTTCAGTGTGCTATGAATGATATATTCATAGTTATTTAAGGAAATTTGTACTAGTGTTCTTTGACGATATCCTAGATTATAGCAACAGCTCCCAGTTGCATCTTGTCCACCTCCGCCAGGTACTTCAGGTATTACAACGACATGAATACTTTGCCAAATGCAAACCATAAAAAATGTGATTTTAGGTGTTCGCGTGTGGCATATCTCGGCCATCAAATTTCAATTCGGGGGATAGAAACTGATCCTGAGAAAGATTAGATCAGTGGAGGAATGGGCTACTCCTATGGATGTCACATCGCTGCGTGGCTTCTTGGGGCTTACAGGCTACTACTAACTACTACAGGAGGTTTGTACAGAATTATGGAATCATTGCCAAGCCATTAACTGAGTTGACTAAGAAGAAATGCATTTAAATGGAATTGTAGAAGTCAGCACGCTTTTGAGACTTTGAAAGTTGCCCTTACTAGTGATCCTTTTTTACGTCTCCCAAGGTTTAGTAATGAACTTCTGGTGGAATGTGATGATCCTATGAATGGTATTGGTGCTATTTTTGATGCGGGAGGGGCACCCAATTGCTTTTTACAGCAAGGGATAAACATACTATAACAGGCATCAATCAGCTTATGACCGTAAGTTACTTGTTGGGTCGTCATTTTTTGTACACAGACCATCATAGTTTTTGGTACACCGAGCAACATCTTATCCTCAAGTTGTTGCCCTTTGATTTCCGTATCAGTTACAAACCTAGGAAGGAGAATGTAGGGGCTGATGCTTTATCTCGTTGCCCCCACCAAGCTGAGCTCCTTAATTTAGTGGTGCCAATGCCTCGACTTTTTGAATTTTGAAGATTCCTTGCAGCAGGACACCCAGTTACAAAGCAAATTTTGGATGAGTTAAAGTTAGATCCTACTGCTATTCCTGTGTATATTAAGGTAAATGGCAGGTTGTTTTATCGAGGGTGTTCCTCCGGCTCTCGCCAAATTGATCGAAGAGGCTCACCTCACGCCATCAGGGGGCCATGGAGGGTTCCTCAAGACATTGAAACGGCTTACTGGTAATTTCTATTGGCCCAACATGAAAGCAGATGTTAAGACATTCGTCCAACAGTGCCACAGTTGCCAACAAACGGCTCTATTTCCTGCAGGGCTATTACAAGTTTACAACAGCTACCAGCACCTGAGTAAGTAGTGCCATTTTATCCCTTTGAGTGACCCGTACACTGCCAAAACAGTTGCAGCTCATTTTTGTGAAGAGGTGGTCCCACTACATGAAATTCCCTGATCCATCCTTGCAGATAGGGACCCTCTTTTCCTCAGCATGTTTTGGCAGGAATTGTTCCGGTTGAGTCAAACTCGTTTGAGGAGGAGCACCTCCTATCATCCCCAATTGGACAGTCAAACTGAGGTTGTCAATCACTATTTGGAAGCATACTTGAGGTTCTTCACCCATGAACAGCCACGCCAATGGAGCAAGTTCCTGTGTTGGGCGGAGTACTCGTTCAATACGCGATTTCAAACTTTGTCTCAATTGACTCCTTTCAAGGTAGTTTACGGAAGGGACCCACCAGTAATTCATCCTTTTGTTTGACGTAAAAATCTGATTGCAGAACTGGCAGAACAACTAGGCCAGGGACAATGTTTTGAGACTTTTACAGGACAATCTCAAAACAACCCAAGACCGAATGAAGAGCTATGCGAACCAGCACCACAGTGACATAAATTTCAAAGTTGCTAAAGCTGTTTTCCTTTGCAACCAACCTTTCCGGCCGAATTTGTTTTTTTAGGTTGGAATTTGGTTAGAAGAACCACAAATGTTGTGAACCACATATTCCTTTCCTTAAGAGAAAATGAGAGAAGTGTGAAGTTTATTTTGGGATATATATAAATAAGGAAAGTATAAAGTTAATTACGGGATGAAGCCTAGTGGAACTTTAGTTGTATAATATCTCTTTGTGTGTGTGTGTGTGTGCAATTGTGCATATTCGTAAATCCATACATGTGCGTGAAGAAACAAAAGAATAAAAAGTACACAGATCTCGGGAATGAGAGGCATACCTGGGCAAGTCTCCTGTTGAGATTAAAAGGCATCAAGACTATAAAAATGACAATGGCCTTATTTGAGAACAACTTTTTCAATTAGTGTTTTGAATTATTTTTTATGGAAAAGATTATCTTTGAAAACAATGAAGTTGAACACTACTCGTAGATAACATTTTCAAAATGCCAAAGCTATACACTAACACTAAGTTTGGTTCACGGAATTTGAAAGGGAAAAGAAAAGAAAATGAGTTCAAAACTCATTGCCCCCCAATTTTTTTTTAAAAAATTAAGGTTTCACGTGCAAGGCTCAAAGAAGTTACGCCTGCACGAGAGGGGGCGTGTTAGAGTATATAAAATCTTTCCTAGGCCACAACCACAAGCTTGAGCTTTTAGTTGAGTTGGTTCCTAGACAGTAGGGTCTTGGAGGGTATGTGTACGCAGACCTTACCCCTACTCGAAAGTAGAAAGGTTGTTTCCAAAGAGACCCCTGGCTCAAGCACCACAGGTGATCACATATGCAGCCTGACCCCTATACTTTGGGTGATACACATACTTCTAACTTTGATACTCCCTCCGTCCACAAATTAAGTTCCCAGTTTGACTTAGTACAAAGATTTATGTGTTGACTTTCCTATAATGCCTCTCCCCCATCCACTTTGATCCAAACCCCAGCGGCCCACCCCCATCAATCAAGAGAAACCAAATCTCGTGTGTTTTCTTTAGACTACATCGGCGACCTTAGCATCACAGAGATACAAAATCTTGATGGCTTTCTTGAGGAGATTTGATTGGAGTTTGGGTTTTGCTGGTGAGTTCAAGTGTGTACTACGGCCTCCAGGTCTATTATGTGATCTCTCTTTCAGAGACTTAAGGCAAAATACAGGTGCAGCTCAAATAAAAAATTCCAGGTTCAGGTGCACTCTCCCTTGTCCCATTTTCTTTATTCAGAACATAAGGTGGAACTCTGGACCTGTAAGAGGATTGAAAACACATACAAGAATATTAGAGAATCAAACAAATTGAAGCAATTAGATAAGAAGATTAAAATTGAACTTATTGAAGAATGAAAGATAAAAACATGATCATTGATTATCTAAAGAAGAAACTTAGAAGAGGCTGGTCCCCGATTGGTAGGGCAGTCCCTCGGGAAATGTCCTGCTTTTCCGCATCCCAAGCACAGTTCTTGAATGAACCAACACTCTCCCGGATGATTCCTCCCGCAGAGATTGGTGCCTCAAAGGCTTAGGCTTGCTACTTGAAGCCACAGATAGAGCATGTGCTGATTTGGTCCTTTTGGAGTTCTAGGTACCCTTAGTTACCATTGAACAGTCTCTTACCGCTCAGTGCGGCACTCAGAGATGGCCGTGCACTCAGCCCTGCGTCTTCAGTTTGCAAACTCGCCTTGTAGTAGTCCAAGGCGAGTTTGAGGCATGGTTAACCAGACATTAAATACTCCATTTTGATGAATGGTAAATGTGGACTAAGACTCAGAGGCGAGAGAGGGAGAAGGAATTCAGAAAGGATTGAGAGTATCACTGAATGGGTGGTGTGAATTATATGAAGGTGGGGTAAATTAGTCATTTAATGCTTTTTTTGCCAAATAAAGAAATGGGAAGACAATTTGTCTGCAACCCAAAAAAGAAAGTGGGAAGTTAATTATTATTGGGCAGAGGAAGTAAAAAGTGACCTTAATAAACCTAAAACAAAGCATTACTGATCTGAATATAAATTCATCATAAAAAGATAACCAAATCATAAATGTAGCTATGAAAGCATCACTTTCAATTTATGATGACAATATTAAATAGGAAGAATAATACAAATTCAGAATAAAGAACATTTGAGAACAAAATTAGGGGCAAGGGGGAGGGGGGTACGGTAACTAATGGACAACTGGAATTCCCTCTCATGTTCATCTTAATGAATGAGCCTATTTGTTTTAGAGATTAAAAAAAAATCCTACACCCAAGTAACACAGACATGGATGTAAATTTCATTAATGGAAAAAAGCCACTATCTTGATCTCCTTGCTATACATCAAGTTCCGAGCTTCAATGAATTACAGTTCTAGACCAAGCTCAACTAATGCAGAGAAATAGAGTAAAAGTGGAAGCAGTTCACCATGGGGATATGAAAGAGATGGATGTGGAAGATAATTGAAACAGTGCACCACTAATGATAATGACGGTGCATTCTGCAGCCAAAAAGAGCAAATTGCGGAGCCTGGTTATCAGTAATTAACATAAAAAATGTTTTCAAATCCTCAATCAGAAAGGCACTCAAGTCGCATTTCTGCACTGCTTTACAACTGTCAAGGAGACTCATATCTTAATCATACAAAGTAAGAAGTCATCTTTAAAAAGGGGAAATTTGAAGGAAAAAGGAGAAACCTCTGGAGATGCTTTTTGTATTGATCTGTGTATCCTGTTCACCGCTAGCTAGCTGAATTCATAGGCAGCTAAAGACTGCCACACAGCTCAAGTTTTGACGAAACCTGGGTGCAAAAGATAAACTTCAATTTGTTCATCTTAATGAATGAGCCAATTTGTTTTAGAGATAAAAAAATCCTACACCCAAATAACACAAACATGGATGTAAATATCATTAATGGAAAAAAGCCACTATCTTGATCTCCTTACTATACATCAAGTGCCAACTTCAACGATTTACAGTTCTCGGCCAAGCTCAATTAATGAAGAGCAACATAGAGTAAAAGTCATTCAATTAAATGATCACTCAAATAAAAATGTAAGAAAACTCTAATTTTAAATAAAAAAGAATTCATCCATGTTCGTGTTTGAGGTGGTATGTTATAAATTTGAATATATAATGTTATTGTATATTCATCATATATAAATACTTTTTTTAAGTCGTTGGAATAAATTGGAAAGAGTTGGAAGGAACTTGAAGGAGTTGGACGTTAATTTTTCCAACCCAAAAGAACAGACTCTTATTAGAAGAAGGAAAAAGATAAAATGAAGGAAGCATTTCATTTATGGATTGATATATGAAGACCACTTTACTACTAGCTCAATTTATAGGCAGGAAGGCAGCTCAACACGGTCACACTACTCATTTAGAAATAAGTTTAGCAATCAATGTATGCTTTTTCACACTTCATTTGGAAAAAAATTAAAGTAGTTTAATGACAATTTTTGATATATTGTTAAGGTTTTGGTTCACTATTGGGTGCTTTAAAATTTGACCAAATACAACTAATTCCAATTTAAAAAAGGAAAATCAAGTAGTTGTTTATGGTTGTGTAAAATCTAGCCTAGCTACCTAAGGCGGCACATTGTAAAACGAGGGTAACATACTAATACATAGCTACATACCTACATTATGCCAAAATAAATACACAAAAACTAGGGCAAACTTCATCACTCTTGCTCGGTTGCTCCTCTACGGATTCGCAACTGCTGAAAAATGCCATAAGGCATGCATGTGTATACATAATCTAAACTTGGTATTTAGTTAAACCCAGCAATGATTATGGAAGCTTAACATTAATTATGTAAAAATGGCCTCAGTGATCTTGAATCATCTCAAATAAATCCAAACTGAAACCAATGAGATGAGATCATCTTACACAAAGTTTCCGAGTTTGGCCTAGTCTTTTTATTTTGGTACAAAGTTTTTGGTATTTTCCATGCATTGGGTCGCACTGATATAACATTCAAAACCAAGAGGCTGGCAGTGGCAGCCACGCGCTGTAACCCTAGGAGCTTCAGTTACGTAGTTGAAGATATGAAGACATGGTAACTTGGGTAATTATTCCATGAGTAACAATTCCATTCCATATTCTTTCACCAGCATAAATCAAGAATAGACACAAAATATTGTAAGCAAATACTATCTGTGTCCCATAAAAAACTTCCCAATTTGACTTCACAAAGTTAATTGTTGAAAAGTGATTGGCAGGAATTTGGTTAGAAGAGAGACAAATGTTGTGAACCACATATTCCTTCCTTAAAAGAAAATGAGAGAAGTGTGAACTGTAAAGTTTATTTTGAGACATATAAACAAGTATAGTACAAAGTTCTTTATGAGAAGGAGCATAGAGGAACTTTAGTTGTACAATATCTCTTTGTGTGAGTATGTGTGTGTGTGTGTGCAGAAACAAAAATAATAAAAAGTACAAAGATCTGAGGAATGAGGGTGTGTGCACGCAAACCTTGCCCCTACTTGAAAGTAGAGAGGTGAGGGGCATACCTGGAAAAGTATTCTATTGGGAATAAAAAGGCATAAAAACTATGAAAATGGCAATGGCTTATTTGGAAACAACATTTTTAGTAACATTATTTTTTAATAGGGCAGATTAACTTTGAAAACGCTAAAGCTGCACACTGCTCTTGATCAGCCGTTAATTGAACGCAATATACAGAACATCACCAGAAATAGAATTACTGAAATAATGAAACTGATCACCTTTTCATGGAACAAGCAAACAATTTTGGTTGATTAATGGAAAACTGTATTTCATTAATGGGAAAAAATACAGCAACTATCTCTTAATTCATCTCCTTACTATACACCCAAGTGCCAAGCTTCATTGAATTACAGTTCTCGAATAAGCTCCATTAATGAAGATAAATAGAGAATAGAAATTTGACCTACGCCGCTGATGAAACAGTGCAACTTTTCACTGCGGTGGATTCTGCAGCCCAATAGCAAATTGCTAAGCCTGATTATCAGTAATTAACTGAGAATTGAGAAGAGTCTTGATATCATTAATAGGTGTACGGATTAGAATACAAACGCGCAAAGAATTCTTACCAGAAAGCATGAAAAGCTCCTTCAATCGCTTGTTGGAGAAGAAGCAGACTACGCAAACGTATTACTGCTCCTTATTTTTTTAATTTCAATTAAATAAAATTTGTAAAAATGATATCACTAGATTTATTGGGCATGTAAAACTAGATTACAAATTTTCAGAAAATTCCCTAAAGTAAAAAATTATAAAAATACTAAATTAGAGTCACATTGTCGTTGTTACATTGTCACACTCAACATATTATCATATTGCAACTGCCACACTATCATCATTTGTCATCGCCAACCACAAGAGTGTCATTGCAGTTCACAGACGATTGACTGATCATACTGACATAATTATCAATTTCCCAATCACACTTTCAATGCGTACTTTTAAATCACATTGTCATTGTACTTCAATTTTGCTCTTAAGAGAGTTGGGGCTCCCATTTTAGTATTTTTATATTTTTTTAATCTTATCAAGCGTGATTTCTTTTTTTGAAAACTAAGAAAGGCATGTTCTCCCTCCCTCAAAACTAGATTGCAATTTTTGAAAAATCTCACACTTCTCAAAATTATTTTATTTAAATATCGGTATAAAAATAAAAAAACAAAATTTACATAATAAGAAATTACGTCAAAAAATTTATAAAATAAGAGATAACACGAATATTTTGATTTATCAAATAAACAATAAAAATATACAAATAAATAAAAATTTTCTGGATGAGAGAGAAAATAAATTGTAAATAATCATGCTCATTATTAAAGAGGATTGATGCCCAATTCGCAACAACATGCACTCTTCATTTTCTCATCAATAGTGTGGTCAGCCTCGTCCTCCTCGGGCATGAAGTTGGCCATTCAACCTCTTCTTTGGAGTGAGCCTCAACCATGTGTAGCGTGCTTGGCCTCGGCCATTAGCAGTGCCGAGGACGTAGTATAATTGTCACACCTCAATCCGCATAACCCGAACATATAGATTAGCAAACACAGTTGCTATTAATCTGGTGTCCAAACACGCACTATTTTCAAAGAATTTAAAACATCCAAACAATTCTTATAATAAAATCCAACATCAGAGTAAAAATCCAAACACTGCAAAAGCTTATGTTATTTAATCAAACACAACTTGGGACTTATGCCCGAAAATGTAATAACTTATTTAGAAACAGATAGTGATTCCAAATCATTAATTAGACCACCCTACATTTCTTCATCCTCATTGCCCTTCGGGATCGGCTGTAGGTCCATCATGTCCTTGATTACCTACGTGTAACAAACAAATAAAGTACACGCTCAACAATGTCATTAAGTGAGAAATATCTAACGTCATGTGATATCATGCAATCAACATATACATCACACAACAAGGATTTTCATAATTTACCTAGCACTTGCCCATTTCCATTCTCAATAAACCTATGGATTTTTTGAGGTTGGTGGATCACCAAAAACATGTTCATATAATCTGTTCTAGACTAAGAACTACTACTTTATTTTCGGAGTCATGATTATTCTCACTCGATCAGCGGATCATGCTCAACCAACAAAGGTGTCCTCTATTGGGTAGGTGGATCCCTACCTGATGGATCACCTGGCAGTTCAAGGATACGCATATTTTTACCCGCTTAGCTATTGAGACCAGAAGACTCCACATGGCTTACTCTTTACTATGTTCATACTGAGTCAGTCCTAGAGTTCCTCTAAGTATATTTACCTTATTCCTAGTGTTGGATCAACACCACATAACATGAACTTTGGCGTGCTGGATTAGCCTGGTTTCACCGTTGAATTCAAAATTGGAAGAATTCATAACATAACATACGTCTGACGACTACAACCTGGTTGTCCAAAGTTGTTTCCGAGTCCCAAATTCAATTCCAACCAAATCATACGATAAAACGTGATTACTATATCGCGAAAAACATATCCAACAATCATTCAATGCAAAGATCATGCTTCCACTCGTTCCCATTAAACGACCCAAATCTCTCAACATGTGATTCGTACAAGTTTCATGCAATTCAATCAACATAACGGTACGAACATCGGTTTCAAACCTAAGAGTATACTCTAACGTTGGGGTTCCACGTACTCACCTCAAAACGACGGTAGATTAACCACGGGCAAACGAGAGCCGAGGGAGAGCGACAACGAACTATGATTAAATTTTTTAAAAATTTGTTGAATGCTTTAATATTAGTATGGCATGGTATCATCTCGTTACGGAACGACATGGTACCGAATGGGTTTAGGCCTAAAACCAAAACTGTACCGAACCATTTGAATAGTAACAGTATAGTACAAGTTCTTTAAAAATACCGAACCGTCAGGGACCGTGTCCACCCCCTATGAAAAAATGCCCTTCTAATTTTTAGTTTTTTAATGATTCTAAAAAAAATACACGCTAGATGTTTATTTGTCAAAATAGCAAAACTTAGAAATTAGATTTGAATTTAAAGTCAAACGTGTTTTAAGTATCGTATTTACCTTGCTAGTGTTGTCATAAATCAAATTTTTACCAATGTATCGAAAAAATAATCACATTAAAATATATCGTTTTTAGAGTAATTGGTTAAGGAGTAGAAAAAATTGGAAAAAATGAGAATAGTTGAAAGAAACTGGAAGAAACTGAAAGGAACTGGAACTGGCTAGAAGAAACTGGAAGAACTGGAAGAAACTGGAAGGAACTGGAAGTTAAGAGTTCAAACCCTAAAAAACAAGCTCTAAGAGTAAGGAACTAGAATTGTGTTTAGATCTAGGATTTATGGTGATAATAAATCAAATTAAGATTAATATTGTAACCGATTTTTTTAGCTAGAACTACTTGCATTTTTTTAATAAAAAAACATTAATAATCTGGAGGACCGAACGAGGTTGGCTAAAATTTGGAGTGTCATATTTATAAAATAATATTTTTCTGTTTCTTAGTGTAACAAACTGTTCTTCTTTCAACAATTCCCAAGGCAAAAATATTACTATTTTTTATTAAGAGCCACCGAAATACATCGTAAATGCATAAATTTGAAAAGTGAAAAAAACGGACAAAGCAATGCACCGTAAATAGGATAAGTTTCTCAACCAAATGACATCAACACTTCAAATAGAGTTCAAACTCTTAAAAAAAACTGTAAAAAAAATTGGATTCTCAAATGTATAGAAAATGAATATGGAAAATCAGGGAAGAAGTGATATCACTCATTCACAAATACTATATATTTTATGAACCTAACCCACCGATTCACAGAATGTACTTAGAATATACTAAAAATACATATATGATGAAAATAGCAAATATCCATTCTAGAGTTTGGATATATTTTTATTCGATCAAACCAGTTTACATACCATTGTTACATCTGGAAACGACAACCATACACGGGGCTAAATCACAAGCAAGAAACCGAAACGAGAAAGTGCCACGATGAACGGGCATCACACGGTAAAAAGTAAAACAAGACAAAACAGTTGAGAAAACGCACGGGCGGTAGATGCTGGAGAGAGATGGATTTAATAAGTTTTTGGGACAGACTTGCGCATCCAAACCTGTTTTCCGCCAATGCAGAGTTTTGCTTTTGCAGTGCCTTTGAGGATGAAGTCAAGTATACCTGGAGTGGTGAAGACAATGAGGGCATAGAGTGGCAGCTCACCAGGATTCACTTCCTGCATGATGATGGAATCAATGCAGTCACCAAACATCTTGCCGAAGAACCCACGGATCTCCTCTTCATAAACTGGGAATCCCTTTGAGAAGGTAGCAAACATTGTCCTCCTTCCTTTTGGTGCCTTAATGGTTGGCATTTGACGAGGCACCACCCCACCAGATTGAGACGACGACGAGGACTCACCAAGGAAGTAGTCAATCAGTGCCACTTCACTTGGAGCCAAGTGTTGCTGGGTGTTATTGTTGATGGCCATTGCCTTGAGATCGTCTAATGCCTTTACACAAACTCCTGATACAATCTTTTTGATCCTAGCAGATGCCGAGGCCTGGTTTTCATATACGTACTTGAGACAAAAGTGCTGTCGCAAAAGATATTGAGTGAGAAAAAGCTCAGTTGGTGCATTAGGGAAATGATACATGGTGTTCGCAATGCATCCAAGGCAGATCACAGCTTCCCCGAAGAGTTCATCGATCATTTCGAAGGACAATGACAATACTTTTGTCACAACATCCTTGAGGGTGATGTGTTCTAGCCAAATCCAAAAGGCAATTGTCAGCATGGATAGCTTTGGATCACACTGGAGATTGAAAACCAGGATTGAATAAAGTTGTCGGTCAATTGCATGGAAAAGCTTGGTCATCTCAACCGGAACTTCAGGATAGACATCTTCCATTTCCATGGCTAAATTTGTTGTTTGAAAACAAAACCTATTCAGTATTTATTTAAGAGATTTATTTAGAAGAAAAAAAGATATTGTGAAGGAAAAGGAGAAACCTCTGGAGATGCTGCTGTGTGTAATGATCTGTATATCTGCTTCACCTAGCTTCGCCGAATCAATAGGGAGCTAAAGGCTGCCACAGAGGTCAAGATTTAATGAAACCTGGAAGTGAAGATAAACTTCAGTAAGTTGAAGATTTATATAGGGAAAAAAAGAGAGAGAATTTGGAGGAGAAGAAACCGCTGGAGAAGAGCATATGATCTATGGATTGATATCTGTAGACCACTTCACTAATGTCTCTATTTATAGGCAGGAAGGCAGTTCGGCACCGTCACGGAACTCTATGCGGTAGTCACCTCATTTTAACCCAGTGATATGCAGATAAATGTATGCAGGTTATTATAGCGTTAGAAACCAACAAACAAAGTTAAGTCCATTATTTACACGAAGCTAAAACATTATCAAAAATGACTCTTTTAACTCCATTGGCAATGAAAGCGTATAACATTTTTTGGAAATTTTGCACAACAACCCAGTTAAATCCTACAAAAGTAGGATATGGAAGGGTGTGTATACGCAGACCTTATCCCTACTCAAAAGTAGAGAGGTTGTTTCCGAATAGACCCCTAATTCAGGCCCCACATGTAATCATGTACGTAGCCTGACCCCTATGTTTAAAACTTAGAGCAATTGTTTGTAGATGACCCCTGATGAGTGTCAAAAGTTGCATTGACTTACTGCTACTTCACTATTAAAAATACATTTTCAAGAAAACATTGGGGTAAAATGTTTTTTAATGGTTCGGGTCATCCATGGAATGCAGAGTGAGAAAGCTTTGGGGCCGGATGAAATTTTGGTGGAGGTTTGGAAGCATGCACGTCGCGATGGGTTGGTATGGTTAACCAAGCTCTTCAATGTTATTTTCAGAATGGCTAAGATGCCTGACGAGTGGAAGGAAAGCGTGTTGGTCCCTCTATTTAAAGGTAAGGGTGACATTCAAAATTGCGAGAATTACAGAGGCATCAAACTTCTTAGCCACACTATGAAGGTTTGGGAGCAAGTCATTGAGTATATGTTGCGGAAGGGGGTATGCATTTCCGAGAACCGATTTGGTTCCACACATCGAAAAAAGAGGCCATCCACCTCTTTCAGAGGTTGATGGAGGAGTACAAGGCTAGGAAGAAGGGTCTTCACATGGTCTTTATTGACCTCAAGAAGGCGTACAATAGCATGCCAAGGGAGGTCCTACAGAGGTGTTTTGAGTGGAGAGGAGTTCTGACCGCATACATTCGTGGGGTCTGGTATATGTACGGTGGGTCAAGGACTAGGGTAAAGACTATTAGGGGCGACTCAAAACCTTTCTCGATAGAGGTGGGGTTACACCAAGGGTCTACCCTTAGACCTTTCTTGTTCGCTCTGGTGTTGGATGTCCTGACGCAAGGAGTTCAAGGAGAGGTTTCATGGTGCATGCTTTTTGCTAATGATATTGTGCTTATCGACAATACCCACGAACGACTAGACGAAAAGTTGGAACTTTGGTGCCTTTCCCGGGAGGACTTTGAGTAGGACCAAGTCTGGATACATGGATTGTCAGTTCAGCGGTCGTGAAACGGAAGAAGTGGTGAAAGTCAGGATTGATTCACACCCACTGCCCAAGGTTGACAAGTTTCGGTATCTTGACTCAGTCATTGACGCAGATGGGGAGTTGGATGGAGATGTGGTGCATCATGTTGGAGCGTCTTGGGCTAAGTGGAGGTTAGGTTCAGGGGTCCTGTGCGAAAAGAAGATTTCACCTAGGATGAAAGGTAAGCCAGCTACGCTGTTTGGGACGGAGTGCTAGGTGGTTAAAAAACCCACATTCGTCTGCATGCTGCAGAGATACAGATGTTACAGTGGATGTGTGTGTGGGCAGACGAGGCTGGATAGGATTCTGAATGAGGTTATCCAAGGTCAAGTAGCCATAGCACCCGTGGAAGATAAGCTACAAGAGAATGTTGACGCCCCAGAGCAAAGATGTGAGATGCTTACGTTGGTGGGTGGAAGTAGGGGAAGGGGTGGACCTAAGAGTTGGAACAAAGTGATTCGCCTTTGGCTAGAGGGTTGTTTCTTGTACTTGTTGTGTGCTTTGTATGTCGCGTTTTCTTGGTGCTCTTTGTTTGCATTACTTTCCCTTCGCTAACTCTAGTTTCTTGCTTGCCTCTGTGTGCTTTGTGTTTTTTTTACTTTATATATCGCCTATTATCTTTTATATCTATGCAGCTTAAGCCGAGGGTCTCTTGAAAATAGCCTCTCTACTTTCGAGTAGGGGCAATGTCTCTTCTCTACTCTAGTGATATTCAGTTGGGTTGTTGTAATTACAGAAAAAAGTAGAACCAAAATGGAGTTTCCCAAGCGTGTTTTTGAGACGATGGGAGGAGTGGAAATTTTTGTGTTGAACCAAATGAGGTGTGGAAAAACTTTTCCTGTCTCCCCCACCAACAACTAAACACACCCAAAAGGAGCATAAAAGTTATCAAAGTGTTACTACATAAAGTCAAACTTGTCTACCATTTCAATAAATTGAGTGTATATACATAATACCTACAAGTTAACAGCAACTCAAGTTCAAAAGCAAAATCAACAACAGCATCAGTAAAACCCTGTAAAATTCCAACTCCGAAGTCAAGAACTATGCAGTTCTCCACCAACTTCTATTAATGAAACTACAGTTCTCCACAAACTTCTATTAATGAAAAGAAATAGAGAGTAAAAGTGAAAGCAGTTCACCATTCGGTTAGGGAAGAGATGGACGTGGAAGAGAACAGAATCAGTGCACTACAAATGGAGGTTCCAAAGATAATGAAACCTAGACGCTATGTGAAGAAATGAATGCATTCAAACCCTCAACCACAAAGGCACTCATGAAGTCACATTTCTGCGCTACTTTTTAACTGTTGATGAGCCCTAGAGATCAAAATTATACAAAGAAAGAAATCATCTTTAAAAGGAGAAATTTGAAAGAAAATGAGAAACCTCTGGAGATGCTTTGTGTATTGATCTGTGTATCTGGTTCACCCACTAGCTAGCTGAATTTTTAGGCTGCTAAAGACAGCCACGTAGCTCAAGATTTGACGGAACCTGGGTGCAAAAGATAAAATTTAGTAAGTTGTATATTTATTTAGAAGAAGAAAAAAGAGAAAATGTGAAGTGAAGGAAGCAATTGATTTATGGATTGATATATGTAGACCACTTCACTACTAGCTCAATTTAAAGGCAGGAAGGCAGCTCAACACCATAACACAACTCATTTAGAAATAAGACAAGTAATCAATGTTATGTATGCTTTTTCATACTTCATTTAGAAAAACATTTAAGTAGTTTGAGGAAAGCAAATGTCCTTAATAAGCCTAAAACAAAGTGTTACTGTCCTTATAAATTTAGCTATACACTTCATGATAGGATCATTTTCACTTTATGATGACAACATTAACAACAACAACCCAGTTAAATCCCACAAGAGTAGGGTCTGGGGAGGGTGTGCGTACGCAGACCTTGCCCCTACTTGAAAGTAGAGAGGCTGTTTCCAAAGAGACCCCCGGCTCAACATCGAAAGTTGCAGTGTTTGAGTAACTGCTACTTCATTAATTAAAGAAGCGCAGATAGTTTAGAGATCCATTTTGATTTATTCCATCACACCCCAAAGCCAAAAATGGTGAAATTTTGACTCCATCAGAGATGATGGAAAGTATGATGACAACATTAAATACAAAAAATAATACGAATTCAGGATAAAGAACATTTGGGAACAAAACTAGGCTGGAGGAGGAGGAGGATACAGTACCTAATAAAAAACAAGAATTCCCTCTCATGTCCATGTTTAATTGTTAATGAATCATCCAATTTGTTATAGATAAATTAAAAAATCCTAGACCCTGGTATCACAAACATGGATGTAAATGTTATTAATTGAAAAAAGAACATACAGCAGCTATCTTGATCTCCTTAATATACGCCCAAGCGCCAAGCTTCCTCGAATTACACTTCTCGACAAACTTCCATTAATGAAATAGAGAGTAAGAGTGGAAGCAGTTCACCATTGGGATAGGAAAGAGATGGACATGGAAGAGAATTGAATTTGTGCACCACTAATGAAGGTTCACAACAATAATGACAGTGGATTCTGCAGCCCGAATAGGAGATTGCTGAGCCTGGTTTTAAGTAATTATTATAAAAAACAACTTATGCTCTTAGGAGTATGTAACCTAGATGCCATGTGAAGAAATGAATGCATTCAAATCCTCAATCACAAAAGCACTCATGAAATCACTTTACTGTGCTACTTTTTAACTGAGGAGGAGACTGAGATATCATAATCACACAAAGGAAGAAATCTTCTTTTAAAAGGAGAACTTTGAAGGAAAATGAGAAACCTCTGGAGATGCATTGTGTATTGACCTGTGTATCCGGTTCACCACTAGCTAGCTGAATTTATAGGCAGCTAAAGAATGCCACGTAGCTCATGATTTGACGAAACCAAGGTGTAAAACATACAATTCAGTAAGTTGTAGATTTATTTAGAAGAAAGAAAGAAAATATGTGAAGGAAGCAATTGATATATGGACGCTACTTCACTACTTGCTCAATTTATAAGCAGGAAGGCAGCTCAACACCGTCACGCAACCCATTTAGAAATAAGTTTAGTAATAAATGTATACCTTTTAACACTTCATTTAGAAAAGTATTTAAGCAGTAATCAATGTAAGCTTTTTCACACTTCATTCCGAAAAATATTAAAGTCGTTTAATGAGAACAAAGTGTCCTTCATAAGCCAATAATGAAGCATGATGGATTTGGATATAAATTCATCATTAAAATATTACCAACGAAATCATAAATTAGGTGTGAGGGATAGGGGGATACAGTAACTAATCCACAAGAGCAATTCCCTCTCATGTGCTTAATATACACCCAAGTGCCAAGCTTCACCCAGTTATAGTTATGGACCAACATACATTAATGAGTAGAAAAAGAGAGTAAAAGTCAAAGCACTTCACCATGGGGATAGGAAAGAGATGACGTGGAAGAGAATGGAATCAGTGCACCACTAATGAAGGTTCAGAAATCACGACGATAATGACGGTGGATCCTGCTGCCCAAATAGGAAATCGCTGAGCCTGGCTTTAAGTACTTACATACAAAAACCATCTTATGCTCTTAGGAGTATGTAACCTAGATGCCATATGAAGAAATGAATGTTTTCAAATCCTCAATCACAAAGGCACTCATAAAATCACATTTCGGCACTGCTTTTTTAAATGAGGAGGTTCAGAGATCATAATCATACAAAAAAATCATCTTTGCAAAGAAGAAATTTGAAGGAAAATGAGAAACCTCTGAAGATGCTTTATGTATTGATCTGTGTATCCAGTTCACCACTAGCTGGCTGAATTTATAGGCAGCTAAAGACTGCCACAAAGCTCATGATTTGACAAAATCAGGGTGCAAAGGATAAAATTTAGTAAGTTGTAGATTTATTTAGAAGAAGAAAAAAGAGAGTATGTGAAGGAAGCAATTAATTTATGGATTGATATATGTACACTGCTTCACTATAACCTAAATTTATAGGCAGGGAGGCATCTCAACACCGTCACGCAACTCACTTGGAAATAAGTTTCGTAATCAAAGTATGGTTTTTCACACTTCATTTAGAAAAATACTAAAGTTGTTTGATGAAAACATAGTGTCCTTAATAAGCCTAAAACAAAGCATTACTGATCTGGGTGTAAATTGATTGTTAAAAAATTAATAACACAAAGTCATAAACTAGTTAATGAGAAGAAAATGTCCTTAATAAGCCTAAAACAAAGCATTACGGATCTGGTTATAAATTAATCATTAAAAGATTAATAACAAAGTCATATATAAAAGTATGAAAGAATCACTTTCTTTTTATAATGTCAACATTAAATAAGACGATTAATACGAATTCAGGATAAAGAACATTTGAGAACAAAATTATGTGAAGAGGAAGAAGGATACAGTAACTAATCAGCAACGGGAATTCCCTCTCATGTCGATGTCAAAGTGTTAATGAATCACCCAATTTTTTTAGATATTTATGAAAGTCCTAGACCCTGGTATTACAAAGTAAACTGGATGTAAATCTCTATTAATGGAAAAAGAATATATAGCCGCTACCTTGATCTCCTTAATATACACCCAAGTGCAAGGCTTCATGCAATTACATTTATTGATCAACTTCCACTAATGACAAGAAACAGATAGTAAAAGTGGAAGCAGTTAACCATGGGGATAGCAAAGAGATAGACGTGGAAGAGAATTGAACAGAGCGCCACTAATGGAGGTTGGCCAAATAGCTCCAGCGCCCCCTGTGGTGTGGAAAATTGGCATTAATACCCCCTTTGTTTTCAAAACTTATTTCTAAAGTCCTCATGGTTTCAAAACGTTACACCGACAGCCCCTCCGATCATTTTCCGGTCATTTTCAGGCGAAGAGGGAGCATTGGTGCATATTTTCAAAACCATAGGGGGCACATGTGCTCATTTCTTATCTTTCGTTTATTACTTTGTTTTTTTCTTTTTTTTACTTTTTTATCTCTTTGTTTCCCTTTCCTAGAAACGTTTTTTATATTTCTTTTAAACTTTTTATAATGTTTTTAAAATTTTAAAGATCTTTGAGTCTGTAATAAAAATAAAAAAATTAACATATACTCCATCTATCTCAAATTAAACATTTTAACTTTTTGTTTTCTAGAATAATGTTTCTGGTAAGTTCAAAAAGAAAATCAAAAATAAAAAAAAATTAATAAATGGAAAAACGAAATGAAAAAATTGAAACATATAGAAAAAGAGTCTTATACAAAAAAGAATTTTTAGAATGCCTAAAAAAGTCCTTAGAATTGGGATGTTCAACAAGGATATTCATTTTTATTTTTTGTTTTATTTTATTTCTTATTTTATTCCTCATGTTCTGAAGTTCTCAAAACTCAAAACAAATTTTTAATTTTCTATTTAAGAAAACAAAAAATAAAAATGTTAACTTAAGACGTACAAAGGTAGTATATGTTAATTTTTTTCAAACAAAAGTATTTTAAAACTTAAGAACATTATAAAAACAATTTTAAAAAGAAATTTAAATCAACTTTGATTAATAAAAGAAACAAAAAAAAGGAAAAAACAAAAAAATGACAAAAAATAAGAAATGAGCAGCAGTGCCCCCTATGGTTTGGAAAATAAGCACCAATGCCTCCTTCTTTGCCGGAAAATGGCCGAAAAATGATCAGAGGGGGTGTGGATGCAACGTTTTGAAACCACGGGGACTTTAGAAATAAGTTTTGAAAACATGGGTGTATTGGTGCGTATTTTCCAAACCACAGGGGGTACTGGTGCTATTTGGCCCATGAAGGTTCACAACAATAATGACGGTGGATTCTGCAGCCCAAATAGCAAATTGCTGAGCCTGATTTTAAGTAATTACATTAAAAAACAATTTTATGCTCTTAGGAGTATGTAACCTAGATGCCATATGAAGAAATGAATGTTTTCAAATCCTCACTCCCAAAGGCACTCATGAAATCACGTTTTTGCACTGCCTTTAAACAGAGGAGGAGACTCAGAGATGATAATCATACAAAGAAAGAAAACATCTTTAAAAAGGAGAAATTTGAAGGAAAATGAGAAACCTCTGGAGATGCTTTGAGTATTGATCTGTGTATCCAGTTCATCACTAGCTAGCTGAATTTATAGGCAGCTAAAGACCACGTAGCTCAAAATTTAATGAAACCTGGGTGCAAAAGATAAAATTTAGTAAGTTGTAGATTTATTTAGAATAAGAAAAAAAATTAAATGTAAAGGAAGCAATTGATTTATGGATTGATATATATGGACCACTACACTACTAGCTCAATTTACAAAGTGGAAGGCAGCTAAACACCGTCACGCAACTCATTTAGAAATAAGTTTAGTAATCAATTTGTGCTTTTTTACACTTGCTTTAGAAAAATATTTAAGTAGTTTAATGAGAACCAAATGTCCATAATAAGCCTAAAATAATGCGTTACTGATCAAGATATAAATTCATCATGAAAAGATTAATAACGAAGTCATAAATATCAGTTTCAATTTATGATGACAACATTAAATAGGAGGAACAATGCGAATTCAGGATAAAGAACATTTGAGAACAAAACTAGTCAAAGGAGGAGAGGGATACAGTAACTAATCAACAACAGAAATTCCCTTTCAAGGCCTTGTTAAATTGTTAATGAATGATCCAATTTTTTTATATTTAAGAAAACCTAGACCCCGCTACCACAAACATGGATGTAAATCTCTATAAATGGAAAAAATCATGTACACCAGCTATCTTGATCTCCTTAAAACCTAAGTGCCAAGCTTCATCCAATTACAGTTATTGAACAACTTCCATTATTGACAAGAAATAGAGGGTAAAAGTGGAAGCAGTTCACCATGGGGATAAGAAAGAGATGGATATGGAAGAGAATTGAATCAGGGCACCACTAATGGAGGTTCAGAAATCACAACGATAATGGCGGTGGATTCTGCAGCCCAAATAATTGATGAGCCTACCACCTTCCTTTAACAGCATTGTTCTATAGGGTGGTACCTCTAAATCCTCTACTCTAAGGAGGAAATTGATGAGCCTGGTTTTAAGGAAACACATTACAAAACCATTGTATGCTCTTAGGAGTATGTAACCTAGATGCCCTATGAAGAAATGAATGTTTTCAAATCCTCAATCACAAAGGCACTCATGAAGTCACTATTCTACACTGCCCTTTAACTAAGGAGGAGCCTCAGTGATGGATTCTAAGAATGGGGGTAATAGAAATAGTAGAGAGAGAAAGCTTAATGTATGATATTGAATGCTCAGAATCCAATCAGATCTGATCCCCCTCCATGTTGAATGGAGAGGTCTATTTATACACTACAAGTAATGGCCTGGAGCACAACTAATTTAGGTTACAGCACATGGGTTCATTAATTACATTTGTCCTATACTATGACAAGTCTCTTCCTCCCAAGACTCGAGGATTGTTCCCACGGCAGGGGTTGGTTTGTTGTTCCCTAGGGGTTGACCATGGGGTGGGGTCTGAAATGGCCCTTGACGTAATCCAAGCATAGAGAGCTGATTGGTGCTTAGCTCGTCAAATGGCCGACCATGCCAAACTCTCTATGATGGCCGAGTGCGCCCATGTTGTGCTTATGACCGAGCCCGAGCCCTTGCGCGTTCATGATGGCCGAGCTCGAATCCTTCTTCCTTCAGGCCTGATACTAATGAGCCCAGCTACAGAGCCCGTGAGTGATGAGGTCGGGCTTGAGTGGGACAAGGCCAAGCATGAAGCCTTGCCTTCACTACTCACTTGCTTATGGGCCTCACATGCTGCTGCCAAGACCATATTATATAGGCCATGGTTTTAGGCCAAATATCTCCATCACTCAAAGATCAAAATCATACATAGAATGAAAACATCATTAAAAAGGAGAAATCTGGAGGAAAATGAGGAACCTCTGGAGATGCTTTGTGTATTGATCTATGTATCCGGTTCACCACTAGCTAGCTGAATTTATAGGCATCTAAAGACTGCCACGTGGCTCAAGGCATCTATGTATTCAGTAAGTGAAGGAAACAATTGATTTATGGATTGATATATGTAGACCACTTCACTACTAGCTCATTTTATAGGCAGGAAGGCAGCTCCACACCGTCCCCCAACTCATTTAGAGATAAGTTTAGTCATTAATGAATGCCTTTTCAGACTTCATTTAGAAAAATATTAAAGTGGTTTAATGTCTTTAATGATAACAAAATGTCCTTAAAAGCCTAAAATAAACCATTACTGGTCGGGATATAAATTCAGCCTTAAAAGATTAATAACGAAGTCATAAATTTAGCTATGAAATGATTATTTTCATTTTATGATGACAACATTAAATAGGAGGAATAATACAAATTCAGGATAAAGAACATTCAAGAACAGAATTAGGCGAAGGGGGAGAGGGATACAGCAACTAATCAACCAAAGGAATTCCCTTTCATGTCCATGTTAAGTTGTTTATTAAGGAGCCAATTTTGTTTTAGATATTTTAAGAAAATCCTAGACCCTGGTATCACTAATGTGGATGTAAATCTCATCAATGGAAAAAAGAATATACAGCAGCTATCTTGATCTCCTTAATATACGTCCAAGTGCCAAGCTTCATTGAATTGCAATTATCAACCAACTTCCATTAATGAAAAGAAAGAGAGGGAGTAAAAGTGGGAGAAGTTCACCATGGGGATGGGAAAGAGATAGACGTGGAAGAGAATTGAAACGATGCACCACTGATGGAGGTTACATCCGCCGCTGATGTGCAACTCCTTTGGATAATGGCGGTGGATTCTGCAGCCCAATCGCAAATTGCTGAGCCTGGTTATCAATAATTAACTGAGAACTGAGAAGACTGTGATTTTATCATTAATAGTTACGGATTAGGATACAAATACGCTTAGAATTCTTACGAGAAGTCGTGAAAACTTGTTAGGGTCGCTTGCACAGCCATACCCACCCAGGGAGGGGGGCTGTTGGAGAAGAAGCAGATTTCGCTTCGAAGCCGCAGTGGAGAAGAAGCGGATTTCCTTGTTTGGGAACCACCCCCATTTTTTAAATGCTCTCCCACCAAGAATAAACTTTTTATGTTTAAAATCTCATACTCCTTATTTTCTAAAAATTACCCAGTAGTACTTTATTTATAAATTGGTGTACCATAAAAAAGTATAAATTACCTTGTTTAAAATTACATTAAAAATTTTATTAAGTAAAATGTAATGAGAATATTTTATTTTATTAAATAATTGGTGAAATTATATAAACAAAAATAAATTATCAAGAGACTATATGGTAACTGAGAAGTTTATTATTAAATTGAGGGATTAATTTTTTACCTTTAAACTTTGTAGATATTCTTTTAAGAGTTGTTCTAGACAATAATGATTAATGATATCTTCAACTGTTTGTCTATGTCCGTGATACATGAAATCAAAGTGATAGCACATTAGTGTACATTAATTTATTTGTTTTTTTAATTAATAAAGCTAAACCTTGAATTTGTTATCAAATGAATCAGAATAGAGAAATTATTAAATGAATACAATTCCATCGAACTCAAAATAAACAATTATTCCAATTGAACTCAATTCAATTTGGCCAACTTTTATTAATGTACAATATAGTATATGTTTATACTTTCTCAACCTAATAATGCACAGTGAGTCAATCGTTTCACTGAAAATTAAACCTCGATAAATTTTCTCATTAGATTTGGAGATTGGATTTCCAGCCACTCAAGACGAGGGAAGAGCTCTGACCAACTAGTAATATTAAAGCAAATTCAAAATCTATACTTTTATATGAAATAATGGCTCATGTTATAATATTATTCGCATTCCCAAATCTATTTTTATTAAAATTTGTGTGTATTTAACTTTTTATTTTATCTATAAGACTCTGATATACATGTAAAATTCAAAAGAAAATATTGTAATGGCTTTATGATGAAGGAAAGGGCCTTGCACATCCCGCATCCAAGTTGAGCCTCTCTCTGAAATCGTTTAGAAGCGCAACGAGACAGCATGTAGGGTATCTAAACCCTCCATGAAAAGAAATTGAGGACCAAGGACCAGGGTTCGTGCAGCGAACACGCGGTTGAATGTGAGACACCTACAGCAACGATTGTGGGCTTTGGGCTACACGCTTTGCAACTTCGCATCTTTGTGTACCCAAGACCCCATTAGACTTCACTTCCACTGCATGCTACCTTTAACGAAGAACGCTTTGTCAAGCAACGAGCCTCTTAATGCTAGGTGACAAGAGGGACACGGAGAGGACACAAACGAGATATGGGGCATCCAAAAAAGGATGAGAATTTATTAGAATTACCATGACAAGTCGTCAATCAATGTATATATATGTTGTTTTTAATATATTTAGGAATTGTATAAATACCTCTCATCCATTTGTATTCTAGGACCGAAGCCCGGACATGTTTATTTTCGGTCCAGACTTATTTTTTTCAGTCCGGTTTTACCCTACTTTAGATCAGAATTTTTTATACCTTTTTTGCAATCTTATAAATGAATTAAGTTATTAATTAAATATGGAAAAAATTGAAATAAGAAGCTGCTATTATTCAAAGTATTTAATAAAAATAGCATTTGTAAGTAACAAATTCATCAAAACTTAATTTCTAACTTATTCAAATTTATAAACTACCGTATAAAAATAATAAACTAAAATAAAATATTTAAAAACTAAATATTGGAAAAATGGAATTCATGACACTAAAACCATATGGACTGGATCTAATGCTTTTGGACTTGAAATTAATAATGGATACAATTCATATAATATATTTTGGTCTGGACCGGAAAATTCCGGGTCAAACCCGGACAGAATCAAAAACCCAGAATCTCAAATTTGTAAAACTCGGGGACCGGACCTGAATCTTCTGGACCGGTCCGATTCAGGTCCAAGATCTGGTCCAGACCTGTTTTTGTACCCCCCCTACTACTCATTCTCTCCACTTACACTCGCACTCGTTGCATCACACCGACTTGTGACGTCATCGTTACACAATGCTTTACGGAACTTTTGGCCAACCATTGTGAAAGATTGCATGGAATTTGTTTGAAACTTCAGGGTATGCCAAGAGTTTTAAAAGGTGCCCAGTCGTCCTTTAACATACAAATTGGTGAAAGCTGCCCCCCTCCCCCAACAAACATCTTAGAGGGTCAATTCCATTTCGGAGTCCCTCAACAGATTATTACCAACAATGGCGTCCTAATTTGAGTTGAGGCCCTTTAATGAATTCCTCAAAAGTTGGAGCATCGAGTCTACTTTTAACAAATATTTGGCCAATTACTTGCCTCCTTGATCACATTCATGAACGAATCCTTCAAATTTGTTATTGCATTTTTCTTACGGAGTACTCTTCAAACTTCAAAGAGAATTTACAAGAATGCATTGCCAATAAGGCTTACAACATACAGAGTACTAAATTACCTAAGTGTCTTATATAATTATTATGGAGTACTTCTATACACACACATATACATACATGCTCAAGTTTGAAGAAGTATATATTAAACGCAAACAACGGTTCAAACACCTTGGATTCCATACCGAGGGAGGACCCATATTGTGCAGTTTCGCCCCGCAAAAGAGCCACATAATTTGCAAGAGTAATACTCAAGCAACGATCGGGTATGAAGCGCAAGTTGCAACGCCTGCAACCAAAAGCAACGAATTAGTTATAGAACGTAACAAGTGCCTCGATGTCAGATTCCAAAAAGCTCTTTGTTAAATATATCAACTATTTAATATATTTAATATTATATATTAGAATTATGGTTGTTACCTATTATAGTTAGAGTTATTATTATATAATACTACCTTATATAATTAGTCATTAATGTGGAGGATTCTAGAATATATTCCTCCACCTATAAATATATGTTTTGTATTCCTCTTCTATTCATTCAAGAAATAAAGCATTACTCCCTCCGTCCCGCTATATTCGTCCACTTTTGACTTTTGGAACTATTCATCTAAACACTTTGACTCATCAAATTCTCTCAATGTGTAAGCCTAAATATAGTCATGCGTGATCTTGTTTGATTTGTCTTAACATATAGATTATTAATATATAATTTTTATAATTTTTTAATATACAAATTACAAGATAAAATGAATTAAAGAAGTGCATTGGATGGTGTGCAAAAATGAAAGTGGACAAATATAGTGGGACGGAGGGAGTATTTGTTATTTTACATGGTATCAGAGCCACCGTTCTTGGTGACCTAAATTTCTCTGCTTTCGCTTCTGGCGGGCGGCACCACCATTAACTGCCGCCTGCCGGATCACTGTTTTCTTCTGACCCAAATTCTTCCATTATACAAAAAAAAAATCTCTGTTATAGTCACCGGCGTCTCTAACGTCATCCTCTTCTTCTAATCGCCGCAGCTCTGACCGGCGACCCCTACTCCACCAAACTACCGGCCTCTCTTAGCGCCAAAATCACACCTGTTCACTCGAGAGTAACATGAGGCATAGGTTCACTTTGTCTTTGAAAGGGGTGTCCTTGGTGTCATCGGTGTTCTAGGAACTATCAAGACGCCTTATCCCTCTAGAGCCTCTGATTTGGCTCATTGATCAGAAATCCTTCTCCTCCAATCACCCTTCAATCCCTATTTTTTTCGATCTCTCACAACTCATATCATCACCTCAACCTGCTTCGTGGATAGATCTTCGGTCAACATGCATCTCCGGCAGTACTTCATTCCTTATGTTTCTTCTCTAACCCTGTCGCGCACGACTCCAGCGCGCGTCAACTTTCTCCCTCTTTCGACGTCAGCAGCATGAGTCTGTTCGCAGCGGCTTTTCTCCTCTCCTCATCAGCGCCTTCACATCTCTTTCCTGGAAATCTTTATCATTCTCTTCTAGGCCGGATGCATTCAGTCTACTCTAGCCAAAGATATGCTTCCAACTTCTGATTACAATTCTGGTCACGATTCAAGTAAAGTTGGCGTTCAATCTTCACCGTTCAGGACGTTGGGAGCATGTTAAATATATCAACTATTTAATATATTTAATATTATATATTATAATTATGGTTGTTACCTATTATAGTTAGAGTTATTATTATATAATATTACCTTATATAATTAGTCATTAATGTGGAGGATTCTAGAATATATTCCTCCACCTATAAATATATGCTTTGTATTCCTCTTCTATTCATTCAAGAAATAAAGCATTATTTGTTATTTTACACTCTTAGAGCATCTCCAATGGAGATGCTAAAAATGGACAGCTATAAACATAGTTTAGAATATGTACAGTGATTTGGATGTTCTTATTTTCATATGTGCTCCAACCATAGCTGCTATTCTCCGTCTTCCATATATATTTAATAATATTAATATGCTTTATCTTTTTATTTCTTTGCTTTGTGTGGAATAAAAACCAAGTTATCATTTCTCTCTCCACTCAATTGGTTGCCGTACTTAGTTTTATTAATATTTTATTATAGCAGATAACTTTTGGTCTTTTATATATAGCATGTGTAAAGTGAAAAATAGATACCTCTCTATTTTTTGAAGGACCCGTTGGAGCTCATTATTATGAATAGTAAAGTCTAAAATCTCTATTTTTTAAACTATAAAGGCTGCCTTGGAGATGCTCTTAGACAAAAGGTAATGATCCTTCACTCCAAGGATCTTGGTGCGATGAAGAAGGAAAATGACAATATGGTTTGTGGATAAAGATCAAATTAGGGAAGCAACAAAAATGCAGATTTCAATAGATTGGGCAGGTGAAGCAACTTACCACACATGTTCTTTCCCATCTCCATTTTGAAGTAGCCGTGATCGCCCCAGTCTTCTCCCCACGAGTTCTTGATCAGCCAATATGGGATTCCATTTTCCACTCCATAGCCCACGGCGAGAACTGCATGATTCACATCCTACAAAAATAAAAGGGCAGCAGAGATCATGAAATTTAACTATAGTATTCCTTCCGTCCCAATTTAAGTTGTATGTTTACTATTCACAAGGTCAAATTTTGACTTTGTTCTTTACCCATTTTCGCTACCCATTAGAGAAAATAATAGTCTTGTCACATCTTATTTTGTAGAACTTTTGATTTAGTTTTTAAATATATAAATTTTATTTTTTAATTCCATACCAATTTTTGAATAAATTGAATTGAAAAATAAACAGGGGATTTAAATTGGGACGGATGGAGTACAAGTTTATAGAATGGGAAATTAGTGCAGACTCAATGTCCTAGTCTTTTTATATACCATAATTCATATGGAATACATAATTCGTTTAATTTAATGTAGAAAAAAAGAATATCTCTTCCGCTCACTTCATTCCCAAATACCTCCTCCCAAAAGATTCCCTTAAACAAAAACAACATAATTAAAAAGAAAACAATCAACATAATTGCCGACAAAGTAACCACATATTCCTATCCCTAAACTGCTCGATTTGGTCTTTGAATATAAGAAAAAGAAAATATACTTACCGTGGGATTCCTACCACACTCGGTGCTGGTGTAAACTCCAGTCTCATATAATTTAAAACCAGATACTACCTCATATGCAATGCTAACTGGTCTAACTAGTCCAACTGCATATTTTAGTTCATCTTCAACGCCCTGCAACACATAAGACACAGTGAATGAAAGTATTTACCAATGGGTATGGACAAAAAATGCCCCAATTACCAAGAGAAAACCAAGCAAATACAAATTATTGAATTGAAATAAAACAAAACAGGAGGATGTAATCTTACCAATGTGATATTAACAGAGTCAATGACTTGCACGCCCACGTTTTTTGAAGAGAATTTGCACACTTCGTCTTTTCCAGTGTAAGGATATCCTTCCTCAGTATCGAGACCACCAGTGTATTTAATATACTCAAACGCTTGTGATGGCAACCCACCATTGCAACCAAAGTTATTAAAAGCTCCTGCACAGTCCACGAGCTGCTGCTCTGAGAGTGAAATATTCTTCCCGAATGCTTGGGCATAAGCTGCTTCTAGAGCTCCAGTGGTGCTGTAGCGATACATAGAAAAAAATCATAGGTTCTCAGCACTAACAATGCAACATTTCAAGTCAAAATGTGTGTGGAGTTCATGCATAGATTATATTCCAAACTAAATTTCACCTGAATGTCCAACATGATCCACACTTGCCTTGATTCTTGACAGGGCTGACTATGCCAGCTTCCCTCCAGTCTTTCTAATGAATAGAATGTAAGCAAAACAGTTCATGTCAATAAAGATCACTATCAGCAAAAAAATATATATACGGAGTATATGCTGGTCACCAATTCCATAAAGTTTTTGTTTGATGTGAACTCTTTTCCTTTAGAACTCATAAAGCTTCCCACAAAACAAAAGGGTAGGTTGCTTTTGGAAGGGAAACAAAACTTTGGCAATAGTATATGCTTCTTGGATAGTGCCTTATTTTGATCTAAACCAATGTGCGATCCTTGGGAACAAAGTAGGCTTTTTATAGTAATGACAGATTGACAGGCTTTGTTTACTGTTTTATTTTTCTGATTTATCTTCTCTAACTTTTGTTACTTGTATTAGTTTTCTCTACCGCCTATTTTGATTTGAAGTATGAAAAATGCAGACATAGTACACTAGTACTCCAGACTACTTAATACGCATAATTAGATAAACTTATCTCACCACTTCAGTTTCCAACAATTTATGATATTTTTGTAACAAAATCACAATTTTTTCTATTACACTACTAACACTACGTCTAACTATTTGCAGGGTCCTCTTGGATATGGTCATTCTACTCCGTGGTGGTAGAGGTAAGATTCCAAGATCAGTATAAATCAAGCCCCGACCTTACTTCTTGGAGAGATATACTGGGCATGTTAGGTTTAGTTCAGAATACTGGCTTACTGAAATAATGATAAAAGATTGGGTAGACTGTAGAGAATACCGTCTCTGGGACAATAGCTTCAGATATCTTGAGATTCCCCTTTAAAGTAGCAGAGCAGTTTTGAGCAGCGCCCAGCTTGTGTGTACGGAACTCATCCCATGTCATATCAGCAAACTCTGTTACAAACAGGACAGAACAAAATGTAAGGACTTAGTTCATAATCTAGCAATTATCGTTTTAATTCTTACTAGGAAAGCAACCAAACAACTTAGATGCTACCCGTATCAAGTTATTCCTCTTCATCACATTTCTGTTTTTCTATCATCTTTAGCTAGCCTTGTAAAAGTGAAGTTCTTAGCCAAATAAACCAGCAAACATAGATGATTTTCTTGTAATATGAAAAAAACATGTTGAATCACTTCTGTATCCAGCCTGTTCATATGTATTAGAGTATGATCTTTTCAACTGAAATTTATGAGTTGAATTTAACCAAAATAAAAGTTAGATAATTTTCACTTAAAAGTACAGACCCCAACTGAACTTAACTGAATTTGATACGTGTTAGACTCTAAATATCTTCATTTCAAGTAGAGATAATACAAGATTGCATCTCAAAGGCACAAATAAAGATCACAAAATTCAAGCTTAATGTTTGATTTTTCATCAAGCAGAAAAGGGCAGATTTACCATTGACACCGAGCTTATACGGAAGCCCTTTCTTGTTATGAGATCTAATCGTCATCAAACTCTCCTTAAACACACCAAAACGCCGATAGATCTCCTCGGCGCTTTCATATCTCTTCCCATACCTGCACAAAGTGATGCCAAAAATTGAAAACAAATACTCACCAAACAAGCTCTGTATGAATAAAATCCGTTAAACAGAAGACGCCTGATGAGAATCTAACCTGTGAGCGAAGCGAGCAAAGGAGAGAGCGTGACGAGCGGAGCCGATGACCGAGAGAATCGAGCTGTCCAGCTCGTGTAACCCGTCCAACACGACTTGCCTGATCGGATTATCGTCGGGGAAGGTGTTCGATCCGGCGGCGGCGGAGGCGATCACGGCGAGAACCACACAGACGATGATGGAAGGGCGGGCCATGGTTATGATTTTCTCCTTCCAAAAAATATGGGAAATGTGTTCACGGAGACCAGTGAAGAAGAAGATACACAGCCGCCGGAGTATTTGATACACTCAATTATTACTCTCTCAGCTTGCACTCAATTTGTAGACGCAATTATACGCCATTATTGGCCAAGCAAGACTAAGAGCAAATGGTGAGGGCCGGAGGGGCAAATAAAATATCAGACGATATGTCAATATTCCAACCAATCAAAAATATTTTAGTCATCTTGTGGTAAGTGACTTAAGTAGTATGTTATGTAATGACAAGTCATTTTTTATCATTTTACACTTTTTTTAATATATTTTAATTATTAAATTCTTTTTCAAATTTTTTTCCCAAAAAAATTGATGTACCTTTTCAAGTAATTAAACAATTCTTTCTTGTATAATTTTTTGTGTTTTTGAAATAAAAACAAAAAAAGGGAAAGTATGTCTTGCACATGCCTTGCATATCATGGAGGAATGCCCCTCTCATGGGTGGCAATACCAACTTAAATGCAAATTAAACCCTATGTGGCATGGCATGACAGTCTTTAGACTCGCCATTGTCAGTTCTCTAAGGAAAGGTTTCTCGTAATAATTTCTAATCTAATTTGAATATTATTTAAAAATTTTCTAATATGAATCTAATAAAAAATAATAGGTAATAAGAATAAGTTGAAGAAAACAGACTATGAGTATGAGTAATTTGAGTTGATGTTGAAGCAAGTTGACCCAGTCAAATCCTAATTTGGCCATGATCTTGTCTTTTTTAAAACGAAAAACTAAAGCTTGGTTAATAAAGTCCAAAAGAGATAAGAAAGAGAGTTTGAAGAACGAGGCCAAAAATGAATATAAACAATAATGTCGAAAAACAAAAAAGGTTCTTGTAGTTATTGTGGATGATATCAAAATCAAAGATTCGAAGGTGTTAGGTTGTTGCAAAGGGTAAAGCAATCAAAGAAAACTTGTATCGAAGACACCCCGATCTTTAAGCCACCCGATCTTTAAGCCAATTCAAGGATTCTATGCACACCAAAGCTTTGGCCATCAACGAAGAGGACACATTTCAGAAAGGACCCCTCGTAGCCGCCAAAAAAATTATTATGCCAAGATAAAAGAATAACTTCAAAACTCATCTTATCAGTAAGAGTGTCAATGCAAGCATCAAAGTAGCACTTTGATACTTGAAACTGGCGTGAGGCATCGTAGAATTCAGGGCCGAATTGTGTGGGGAGATCAGAAGGAGACTGTTTCACGCTAAGATGCTAAATCTTGAACCATCGTACTCCATGTATACCGTGGCAAAAGAAGTTTGGAGTCCAAAAAAACCTCTTCCATCGCCAGCCAAATGTCGTACACGGCTGCCAAGCAGCTTTCATCTTGTAAATTTTTGCCCCTATTGTTGAGGGAATGCCAAATTGAAAGCTTGTATTTCTTTGAAGTCAAGCCCTCCAAACTTCTTTGGAACACACAATCAATCTCAGACCATCCAAGGAATACCTTTGTCATTGATTATGCATGAACTCTACCAAAACTAATTTATGGTACACTCTAGAGGGCAAAGAGAATCCAAGAGTACAAACAGATTTATAGAAAAGGTAAGCATGACCTGAGCCCACTCTTCAACATAACCCCCTTACATGCCTTTGTAACAAAATTCTTGTTTGTAGAGCTGATCATTTGCTTAATCCTCTCCACAATGTAAGAGAAGACATCACGCTTATTTCTACCAACAAATGACAACAAACTAATGTAAGAGAAGACTTCACGCTTATTCCTGCCAACAAAAGTTGGCACACTTGTTTCTACCACGATTGCGACCTTAAACCGCCTACGATATTGATTTCCAAAGTGAATGTATACCATTCATCCAAATGTACATAGAGCTATGTACATGTGTCAAGTATTTATTTTGAACCAACAATATATTCATTTTCAAATGTAATGTTCATTCTGAAGTCTATTCAGCACAATGTTCATTTTGAAGCAACTTAGCTTTTATTTTGAAATATGTTTGTTCTAGAACAGCATAATATATTTCTTCAAAAAAGAATTTAAATTACAAATTTACTATGATGTACTGATAGGAATGTAAATTTGATTGTACCATAAAATTTATCAACTTTAAACATCTGCTAATATCTATATCCGAATTTGATATCTAATAAAGGGAGATTCTTTGGTGCACCTAAAAGTGCACCATGTGTTTTGTGCATCTAGATGAAATGGTAGTTGCTTACTGCATGAAGAGAAATATATTTTTTTAAACAAAAAAAAAATAGTAATGTGAAAGACCACAAAAGTAAATGGAAATTATAATGTCACATCCAATCTGTTTAACAACCATTTACACTCATATTAAGAGGGATGCATTTAGTTCCATGATATTTTTCATTTTTCATTAATAAAATAATAAATTCTTTAAATAGTTTTTTATAGCGGATGTTTTCTATATTTAGTCTATATTTATCAAATATTATTATGATAGTCCTTATTAATTGGGTAGCATTCCACGTTTGGTCCTCTCTTTATTTTTCCGTCATAGTGCTATTAGATAAAGACTAACGTGAAATGATACCCAACCAATCGGCTATACCATATACAGCCTGTGGTTTTACTTGTTAAAATATATTGTGTATGCTTAAAATTTGTTGACTGATACTCCGTATTTTAAAACATTTGTAAGGGTTTGATTACATTATAAAATAGAAAAGAGAGAGGTGTTCTTTTATAAAAGAATAATTTAATAATTTAGTGGCCTTTTAATTGAAACTGAGAAGAGATAAGAAAATTCTGCGTAATCTTTATGTCCGCTATAAGATAATCTACGAGTCTGTTTGGGAATACCGTTAGAGATTAGTGGTAGCGTTTTGGATAAAATTTTAACGATGCAGATTACTTTGAAAACGCTAACGCTAATCGATAAAGCTATTCCCAAACAGGCCCTACATAGTTTCTTCTTACATATTTGCAGAATCTGTCATTTATTAATTTATTAAAAGAATTATAAAATTTTAAATATCATTAGATTTTGAATGGATACTTTAAAGTTCTAATTTATTATAGAGTAAGTTTCATAAAAGTTTTTAGTTATACATCGTTTTCCATATTTGGTTTCCACATGTCAAATATCAATAATTTAATCCTCAATTATTACGGAGTATATTTTTTCACAAATGGTCCCATGTTAATATTTTCGTTAAGAATATGGATAAAATTGTAAATTCACACACGTCTCTCTTCAATTAAACTTCTTTCTTCCTCTCGTAGTACTTCCCAAACCCGTCACTGAGTTTGAAACTCTGAATCTAAAACCAAAACCGTCACTCATCTCTCAATTGTTCGTCTTCTTGGTGGAACCAAAAATTGAAATGAGTAACCTTTATGGATGAATTTCATGAGTTACTCTCAGTAAATTGCAAAGAATACAAATCTCGAAACTCATCTTTGAAGTCATTTTTTTTTAAAACTCATCTTTGAAGTCATGAAAGTCATGAAAGACGAACAATTGAGAGAGGAGTGATGATTTCAGTTTTAGGCTCATAGTTTTCAAACTGAGGGATGGATTTCGAAAGAAGTACGAAAGGAGAGAGAAAATTTAATTAAAGGGCATTGTTCGTAAAAAACAATATAATAATTAAGGATTAAATTATTAAAATTCGATATATAAGGACTAAATATACAAATCAATCTTTAACTGGAGATCATTTATAAAATTTATTATTTAATATACAAAAATTTGAAATAACTAAAATAAAATCCTAATGGAATGAAAAAATCCATAGCTCTATGTTACCAAATTCTTACCAAAGAAAAGAATTTGGAAAACCTCTATAAACAATGTAAAGTCACCTGGATAGTGGAGTTCTTACCAAAAGAATAGCCGCCTGAGAAGTAAATTTTTGCAAGACTTTGGCCCATAGCGAACCTCGATCCAAATTCTGCCTTCCCCAGTCATCTGAACGGAGCCCTGCTACCTTCCCTCCAATGGCGTCTCTGGACACCGACGTGATGATTATTCCGGCCGGAGAGGGTTCCAGCGGCGCTGCACCGTCGTCTTCAACCAAGAAAGGCAAGAAATTCGAGATCAAAAAGTGGAATGCAGTTTCCCTCTGGGCTTGGGGTATCTCCTCTCTCTCTCTCTCGTATGCCCAATGTTGATATGCAAATCGCAATCTAAACTCGCGAGGTGGTGTTTGTATTTGCGCATATTGTTCGAGAGCCTAACCTAATTTGTCTGAAACTAAAGTAGAGCATGTCTGAGTATGTGTTATGTTATGATGATTATGGGCGATTTAATTCGGTTGGATCCCAAATCCTTATATAGTATTTGTACGTTGGAGTTTATATTGGAACCCTAATTCTTCTCTATTTTTTGTAAGCTGGAGTTTGTGCTAGTTATGATTTTGATTCTTGTGTTCCCTCTGAAAATCCGTATGGTATATTGTCTTGTTTTAGACCTTCCAGTGGTTATTGGTTTACTCGTTTACTTGAATAGTTCAATATTACAAGGGATATACAGGGTAGAAAGTCTAGTCTTGTTGGTGTAAAACTGTAAATTGATTTTGTGGTTTGAAAGGTGACGATTGATTGATTTGTATTCTATATTAAGTTTTTTTTTGAGGAAATCTCTTTTAGGTATTGAAACACTAGTGGTTATACTGTGGTTGGAAGCGCTTGTTTATGACGGGGTTGAATACTCGTGCACGGAAACACTAGTACAATCTTTGTTTTTTTGTTTAGTTTACAGTTCACACTATTGCTCATATATGTAGTTACTTCAATAGCTAAATATTAAGGGTAGCTCGGTGAAAAAAAAAACATTGACATTGAGTATTTGAGTGAGAATAGGGGGAAGGGTCCACTATAATGGTATTATGTAGGTAGACCTTACCTTTTACTTTTGAAAGAGATTGCTTCCGGGACTCAAACACGTGGTGTCAAGGTCACATGGAAGCACCTCAACCGGTGCACCAACGCTCCCTTTCCTGTAGCTCAATACTAAAAGTAATTTAAATTGTAGAAATCCAGATTTATCATTTTAAAGATGATTTTGATTATTGGAGACCTTTTTGGTTCTATAGAATATGATTTTTTCTCTTCTTCTGTGTGTGTGTGTGAATGTGTTGTCCGTTGTGCTGCATCATTAATCATGTATGTGTAGTTTACTCTTTTAGTATAGGAATACTAATGGATAGTTTTCATTAGTATATTATGCTATAATGTTTGAATGTACCGTTTTGGAG